ACACATATATATATATATATATATATATATATGTAATACATATACATAATAGGTAATACATATTTTTCAGGTTAGATGGCATTCTATTAGAACTGAGAAGAATTACTGAAATCAGGTGTGTATCACAAATATAATATCTGACTACCATTATTTGAAATGACAACAATTTTTCTGATATACAAAAAAACCGAAGAAATAAAATTTAATTTACTAAAAAGTGCTTAAAAACAAACCTGATCAGGAATCCACATCACCTTTGTAGCTGGATATGGATGATCGAAGCTACCACAATCGATAAATTCACCAGCGTCTTCGTCAAGTTTCACTATTGAAACCTACGATTGGCCAAAAGTACTTCTCAAGTTCCAGTTAATTTTTGTTATTTCCTAATGGATTTATAATGGCATAATTAATCTAATATTTCACATTATGTATATATATATATATATATATATATATATATATATATAAGATGACGCTTTTATCCAGCATTATTTAAACTTAATTTCAATTTGAGCACATTATTTCAAACTATATTTTATTTTTGTTGTTAAACCAAAATATTCACGCCTTAGAAAATCCGCACAGGAAAAAATATTCTCTTCCTTATAACGAAACGAAACAAAAGCCAAAAACCTTATTATTGTATTCCTCAATGAAGCTAGCTAATGCTAAGCGGAACTTCTTCGCTGGGTCGGGATGCTGAGACCAGGCAGTGGAGTATAGTGTATGCGGTGCCTCGTACTTGTAAACCTCTTTGTGTTTGGAATTCGAACTCGATATACCACCTACAAATGGCGGATGTGGCAATCAAAATACTACAGCCAGTACAAACATTTCAATTATTGCAGATGTATGGAAATTTTTGCGCTTTACCAACAAGCTGTTGCCTAAATGCGAAAAGTTTCAATTACACATCAACGATATGATATGAAATATCATTAAACATGCAAATTCAAAATCAGCTTACTGGATTGATTAGATACCATTTGAGTGATCTCATTGTCCATAAGTTGTTGCATAACGTGAGATAAATGTTGTGTGATTGCCATTAGTCTTAACGCTTAAACTGTGGACAGTCCTGACTAACGGTCCTGCAACATACAGAACAACATAAGAAATTTATGAAGAATCAGAAATGGCATAATTAAAATGAACTGGAGGATAAAATGAACCCTCTGACTTCACATATTCGCTCAATCAACACAACACCAGTAGGTTCCCAATTTACCGAAGTGTTTTGAAATTCTCAAGAAACCATGCAAATCAACAAACTGATTTGAATGAAAATAAGAAACTCAAACAATTCTTTCAAATGATTTAAATAATCATTCAAGTAGTGAACAAACCAGAAAGCGGAGAATCAGTGAACAAAGAACTTTATTTTTT